GCATATGGTGTATTTTGCAAGAAGAGAGCACTACAAACTAAACAGAAATTCAACCAAAAAGAAAAATTGTAAATTGTACGGAAAGATTATAATGAAAATTGTACATTTCGACGTGGTTGCTGTTGCATGACCCTACTCAGAAGTAGGGGAAGTACGTACAAAATGACACAGTTTTGGTTTTGGGTCATAACCTTTTAATGGTAAATCACAGCGCATTCACATTAGGTTTCATATCTTTGAGTTATAATAGATACTTAAAAGATAAACAAACTAGAAAAAATAATAATTTTAAATTTAACTGAGATCAACGAAATCTCTTTTGTCCATATGCTATGGATAAATGGCATACCACATACGGACTAAATGATATACACGGCAAAAGTTATAAAATTAACGGCAAAGCTCGCAAATGAACCTCTTGGTTCGTTTAGAAACGTCCGCGCAAGAAGCATGGGCCCAATGCGAACATTTTAAACATCGCAACCAGTCTTCTCCAGGTTTTGATCGCGAATAAAGATAGTTGCGATAAACGCATGCGCAATCCTCTTCGTCATCTTGAGCGTAATTTGGCAAATTTTCTTCTTCGCTGTCTTCTTGGAATATGATTTTGATAACCTTTCGTCTCTTCTTCTCTGAAGGAGCTTTAGGCTCATTTTTTACCTCAATTTCTTTCATATTTGGAGTTGAAATCAAAACTAAAGAGGTTTGCTGTTTCTTTTGCTTACGTTTGCCTTGGCCACTTACGTAATGTCCTTTTGGGACAGGAGATATAACTTTAATAGGCACTGCTAACGTATCGGTTGTTTGAACCATAGACATATATTAATGGACGTGCCTTAACCGTATGTCGTTGTAATAATTTCTTGGCTCGAAAAGTGAGGGAGAGGATGACAAAGCGTTATAAAAAATCAAAATTCAACAATAAATGCAAAATGATTATTATTTACGGAAAAAATTATTTGATGGCAACAATAAGTACTTAAGGGATGTAATAAATGTAAATACAAGATGATATTATGAAAAACATAACATTAATACACAAAAATTCCTGCAGTTAAATAAAAATTCGTAACTTACCAATGATTATCGTCGGTCATGACACCCAAACGAAAGACTGACGCTAGTTCATGTTTTGCACGTTCGTATTTCCGGCTAGAGTCACGTGATGTAGTTGTCTATGGCGGACTAGAAGCGGCAGAATTTGAAATATGATGCTTGCTTCATTTTGTACGTACCTCCCTTACAATGATGACAATAATACCAAAAGGACTGCGTTGTTCGCAAACATTAGCACCAAAACGATAAAATAAAAAGGTACAAACATCTGAACTTAAATCGATATTTAAGAATGAAAATGTAAAATAAAGCAATTCACATCAAAAGGCAGAAAATAAAAATAAATTTTTACAATTCGAAAACAACACACCCAAATACTCTAATGTCTAATGGTTGCAATTGATGGCTTGTGTGTGAATAAAAGAGATGAAAATTGTGCCATTATCTTGAGCATATGATATAGCCTGTAAGTTGAAGCGACTTTCGTAATTATCACATAACAATAAAATCAAATGATCATTAGTGCTCAGGGTATGTTCTGAATGTGCTTTAACACTGAAATAAATATGTCAGAATTTGTCCATCCAGTCCTGTTTGCAGTTCTGATGCTTTCTTCAGGCGCACCTTCAAGAAAATGGTCTTTGTAGTGCACACGTGGAAATGCAAACTGCGGTGGTAGTATTTTAGCACCAAAAGTTACCAGTTCGCCCCTTTCCGGTTACACGATTTGCCCTACTTGTTTCTCTGATTTAGGAGCCAAAATTTTAGAATTATCTAAAACAATAAAAACGCCGAACTCGCCGAAGTTAAATATCCTGTCGGCAGCATAATTATATCGCTGTAACACATTGGTGAAATTATTATAGAACTCTTTAACTGCAGTGTTAATAAAGGAAAATGATTCATTCTCTTTCCCTGTTTTTACATATCTGCCATTTGATTTTCGTCCCATTTAGGATATTTAGTCATTTGAACGCGCCTCTTCTTCCAAGAAGACTTATAGACTCGTGAGTTTAAAATGTTCGCGAGGTCTTTGGCGGACGTAGGGTGGGAGGTAATGGAGAGATCGATTGCGTTGGTAATCTCGTTTGAAAGAAGATTCGCAGCTACATCGAGTTCCGCTATTGTGCGAATTGAGTTCACTTGAATGAAGACGTTTCAAGAGTGTAACGAAGATGTAGCCGGTCTAGTGAAGTGGTTGGATTTGGGGGGTTGTTGATTTGGTGGCCGACTTCAATTAGGACTGGAAGGTGGTCTGAGCTAAGTGCGTCAAGGACGATAGGTTGGGCGGAAAGTGTAACATTTTTGTGATGAAAAAGGATGTCAGGGAATTGATTGTGGGGGGATAGGGAGGAACGTAGGGTCAGGGGGGTCTTCAACTATGAGGTTGAAGTTGAGAACATTGGCAAGAAGGAAGTTGCCTTTACTAATGGTTTGTCGACAACCCCAAGAGACGTGTTTAGCGTTCAAAACCTATTTGTCTGCGACGATAGTTGGAACGCCTGGGGGGAGGAGAAGGGGGAGTTCAGAAAGATTTTTGTCCGAAGAGGGGAGTATAGAGAAATAATTCTAAGAAGGCCTGATGTTAGTGAGACTTCGATGCCGCCTGCTTCTAAGGAATCTGTGGCCAAAGAGATAGTTCCTAATAAGAATAGCTACGCCGTCGGTACAACCGTTTTCATGGTCCCTTCTGTAGGATGAGAAATTTTGAACGACAAGTTTGATTTTCTCTGACAAATGAGTTTCGGTGATGCAGGCAATACGGATTGACTTATCTTCGAGGAAGTGTTCGAGTTCAGTCTTTTTGCCTCTAATGCTTTGTGCATTTCCAGTAACTAAACGAAGTTTATTTGGGTGGGTTGTATTATACATTGGTGGGAGTTTGTAGGACGGCGATGAGACTGGCTACCAACGTTTGAACGATGACCTGGATTATCTGTTCTAGAGTAGAAGTTGCAAGGGTGTTTGGAGACGCTTTGCGTTTTTGAGAGAGAGGAGGGGAGCTGCAGTCATTCTCCTGGTGTAGGATTTGGGGGGGCGTCTTTTTGGGGAGAGTTATTGGACGGGGCGCTGATTGCACAGTTTTTTGAGTGTTGGGGAGAGAGAGATTTTGAGGGGTACGGTTCTCTTTGGAACCTTGGTGCAGCCGCGGTATGTGGCGCGGTGGCTTTCTTTGCAATTAGCGCTGGAAAGGGGGTATTCTCTTTATCTTTTGCCTTGCATTCTCGTAGTGATATGGGTGCGACCACAGAAGGAGGAGACCCAGGCAGCGTGACAATAGTCTGGGTGGAAGAATTTCATGCAACGGCGGCATCGGGGGATGTCCTTAGTGGCCCTTTTTGGCTCAACTTTTACGATGAGTCCGCATACCTTGCCAATATCTAAGATTGATTTGGACTTCGGAGAGGTTTTGTACAGAAGAACGAACACTAAGGGTCAGATTTTCCATCGTTGGATATTCGTTGGACCCGCGGATGGCAAAGCCTTTGTGAAGAACATCGTATGTAGAGATGTCTTCGCAAACTCCACGGAGGACGACATGAAGATCACGGTCTTGTTTTAGTTGATTTGTGGAAAACTCAAATTTACATTCGCCGAGGAACGACGAGAGTCGACGAAGATCGTCCACGGAGTTGGGATAGACACTTATAGAGTCCTTGGTGTTCATCGCTCGACGTGTGGCGATGTCGTGGTTGTCCATGGCGCGAAGAATTTTCGGGACTTTTGTCGGATTTCGATGAGGGGGGCTTATGAGTCTCGGCTAGTTTTGCGGTATCTGCCTCTGAATCAGACGAGGCCGAAGACAGGAAAGTGGCACGTCTTCGGCGTTTGTTACGCCGCTTTCCGGCTTCTGTGAAGCTGTCAGTGGAAGTGGGGGGTGGCTGTGAATAAAATTGGGCTCGGGTGGCAGAAGAAGGTGTTGTGTCTTCGAACATTGGGAATGAAGGGACACCTTCGGAATGTTGAATAAGAAAGGAAGCTTAGACTGAAGTTCGATCTCCAGGGACATTATTTCTGCAATGCAAAGTCCCTGCAAGTGTTCGGGGCCCTTGGGGGTAGCAATTTCAGAATGGAAAATGAAACTAAACTACTCATGTGATACGTAGTATATGTGGAAAATAAGGAAATGCTGGGTTTTGTTAGTTTGAACTGCATACTTCTATTTCAACTCATTTATACTCCATGCGTTACATTGAGACTGTAGTGGGGAACTGAGCAATCTAAGTGACCACTTTCTCCTAAAGTTATTATATAGCTAAAGGGTTTTCACCATAATTTCTTTTAAAACTGTAATTAAAAAATACATTAAGAAAACTGAAACAAAAACTCAGTTATTTGCTTCTCCAAAAGCTATGTAGGCAATTATTGTAAAGTTCATCAATTTCTGCACTATACTGAGATTTCATGGAACAATCAGTCTCGGATTTTTTGTGACATGATCGGAAAATCTCATCTGGTTCGCCTTTATCTATATTGTTTATGCTTTTTTGGAACGCAATGAAATTAACAAATATCACACTGAAGTAAATTACTTTATGCTAGGATACTACTGCTTTTATTTTCTTTCTGCCTTTTTGTTATTTAAGATTTGTTTTTCAAAGCAGTTTTTTAGCATTTAATTTTCATTTTCGTTTTTCTCTTCGTTTTTTGTTTTAATTGAAGTTTTTTCTCAAACATTTCTTGGCATTTTTTCGACATAATGAAATTCTTTCTGTATTCTGGAGTTCTCATGTATTGTTCAAATAGTGATAATTGAATCGTACCAATTGTGTCACTTGTTTGTAAACCCTTTGTTAATGTTTTTTTGAGTCTCATCTGTCGAGATATTTTCAGTGCATTTGTCGCACGGAAACCACTTGAGCATTTTGATACTTTATTTAATTTTATTACCAATACTCTTCTCTTTCAATATGAAAACCCTAGCAACACTACTTTCTACAAAACTACAATTCAACTCTTACTCTGTTACTGTCTTCCCTAGGGACCGATACTAGATTTTTCGTTTGGCCGGCGTCGATTCCTGGGACCGACAGTATTAAAGTTAAAAAATAAACGTAGTCTCAATGAAATGTAGTCAAATGTAGTTTCAATTAAATTTATTGAAACATTTTAAACAAAAATGTGGTTTGAATCTACACATCACAAAATGTTACAACTTTTTTGGTCAAATTTTTGGCGATCTTGCATCCAAATAGTTTTGAATTGTCATAATATTTGGAATAGTATCTTCGGACTATGTATATCTCCTTCCTTTTTGTGTAGTTTACGAACAATTCTTCTTTCATGGATTGGAATTTCCTCATCTAACTGCCGTGGTAGTGAATCCGTCAATTGTCTGCGAAATGCTGTGATTAATATTTTTTCTTGTTACTTTTTGAAACATGAATAAGGTATTTATAACAAAAGTGTTTTGAAAAAACTTGAAGGCTAAGTTTTACCGCTAATTTTACGAATCAAAATTCTGAAAAAAATAATTTATGTTCCTCAAACCTTCCCTATGTTATGTTGAGAACTCCAATTTAAAATATTCATTCACAGAAAAAATATTTTATGTTAATGTGTGATCGACTTCACCCCGCCTAATGGGGTGAAGTCGATCACCCTTTAAAAAGTGTGTAGAACGACTTCACTAACTTAATGGGGTGAAGTCGNGCTTTCTCAAATGCTGAAGCTTTGCTTTTACCACCACTGGCTTCCTATCAATGCAATTCTTGTTTAAAAATTTTCTTATTTCTTCCGTTGAAGGGTATGAGCCCTTAATCAAGTATTTTTGAAAGGTTTTCTTTAACAGGGAGACTTCATTTGGAGACCATTCTGAAGAGATAACAAATGTAAATAATCTAAAATACTCTTAACTGATAGTAAACTTACTTTCACTCTTTCTCTTTTTCCTGCCTTCAAAATATTCTTCAGCCTTTTCCTGTCCAATATTCTTCATTTCCTCTATTTTGGTCTTGGATCTGTCATCTATGTTTGAGTCAGTGTATTTTTCTCTGTATTTCGGCTGTTCCTTTCCCCGGATAAATTTCATTCGTTTCCTCTTCTTTTCATTCATTTCTGGTACCTCCTTTCCATCTTCCGTTTCTTGGTCGCTATCTTCTTTTTCGTTATTCTCCTCAATTTCCTCAGTTACAAGTCCATCGTCGTGGTGATTTGCTAAAGATTTCATATCGTTTTCTTCGGCATATTTACAATCGATCTCAATCTCTGATAAGGATTTTCCTCTATGTTCTATTGGCACTCCATTTTCAATCATCAACAAAAGCTTTGACACCTTTGCTGTCTGATAGACATCAACTGGAAGCCTTAAAAGTGAGAATAAAGTAGATGAAGCGATAAAAATGCAAAAGCCTTACTCATAAAATTCTTCATGGGTTTTAACTGTGTGACCCATGAAGTTAGAAAACTGTTTAATATCATCTTTGGACAGGCTTAATATCTGCATGACGGTGGCAATTTGTTTTCTCAAACGATTACTTGTTATAGCTACAGGGTTCTCTAATGGAATTTTTCTAGTTAGGTTTCGAATTGCTAGGTCTTCTTTGCCCCATATGACTTTATGTCCTGGTATTGAAAAGAGATAGTCGTTATCTTCACAAATATACTTATGTCTGTGTCTTAAAAGCACTTGTATGAATTCATCGAGGTCTTGAGGTATCAGAACTACGACTGCCCGAGATCCTTTACCGCTGTTAAGGACCCTTCGGTACCGTGTTGCCAAAATTTTCTCTGTTGCTGAAAGTGCGTCTTCAAAATCATTGAATTTGCTTTTTTTCTCATTGTTGTAATCTGATATTTTCATATACTGCACATCACCTATTCTTCTTCTATTGAAAATTATGAGTAATGATAGAACGCATTCGACAAGCGTTTTATAGTCACTTTCTGTATCTATTTCCTTTATGAAGGCTGCAACAGCGTTTCTAGCTATTTCGAAAGCTTTTTCCCTAAAAAGCTTGATATCCGACACCAAGGGAATCAACAAAGGCTTGTTCCAACATTTTTCGTGTAAATCCTTATTTGCCAAAGAAGCCATTTCAGTATTCCATCTGGAAACTATTAGCTGCTTCATATTCTTAACTGCCTTCAAAGTGACTGCTTTGTCACTGTTCGTCTTCGATCTGAATCCTGTAGTATCTTTCATAATTAAATAATACAGTTCATCACAAAGCAACTTCAAGTTGCCTCCAAAGTGCATTGCTAAGCTAGGAGCAGCGAAGCCCTTTTTTAGGGGATCGTAGCCTGATAATTTTCTTGCTGCTGTTACAATAGTGTCAAAATGGACGGGACGGAGTAAGTGCTGCATATCGATTTTTGGATCATTCATAAGTTTGCGGCATTCTATTAATAACCTCCCGAACTCCCTCATCTTATTGCTGCACGTATAGCTGCTTTTTTCCTTTCGGTGTTTTTTCAAATACGAATTTCCGAAGTATGTTATTAACAAATCTTTTTTTGCAACAAACGCAATATCATCACCCCTCATCATGTCAAATACCTTTTCCTTAACTTCTAAACGGGATACAACATTTGTTGGATCCAGACTACATGCAGTTAATGTTTGTGATTTTGAGACGGCTCCCGATGCACCCGATTTGCATGTTTTAGAGGTACATAGTTTTAAATGTCTACTTAAGTAAGATTTTTTGTACAAACCTTTGCAATGTATGCATGGATAATAAAGAGATTTTTGGTTTTCGGTGTCAATATTTTTGTTAAAGTTTCTGCGTGCGGGAATACCATCGCCATCAAGATATTGTTCGAACTGAGTTTCTTTTCTTAATGCTTCTACTGCCTTTTTCCTAGCTTTACTCTTTAGAGGCTCCAACAAAATTGCCTTCACCTCTTTTTCGCCAGCGTGTCGTCTCATCAAATGACGCATAAAGTTTTTAGAAACACTGTCCTCTGCGCAAAAAACACATCTTACTAAACGGGTTTTCAAAAGTTTTGCTTCTCTCATATAACCAGCTTTAGAAGAAATCCCTCGCGGTTCTTCTGGCTCTCTGATTTGAACGTTTTNATTTAAAAACCCAGGACGCTGCTTAAAAACTATTCAGGACGTCCCAGGACACTACAAAAACTAGGACATGTCCTGGGAAAACAGGACGGTTGGCAACCCTAGTATAATGGTAATATAAGAATAAACTAAGCACTAATTACACACTAATATCAGTCAATATTCCAAAACACTGAATTCGGTCAGTCGAAACTTACCGCGAACTCACGTAAATCACGCACAGGTCAATCGTGGTGAATTGGAATGAGGTAGACAAAAAAAAGAAAACAACATAAGCGTCCAGGCCCTCCAAAAGGATCGCCTTAAGAGAATGAGCTTTTCGTAATATCTGTAAGCTAATTAATATCTCAAATATTTGTCATTTAATGTGGCCTGAGACGACTGTCTGTATCTTCACATAGAGATACCAATTAATCTAGCAATTACTATGCCTCAATAAAATAATAAGGTTGGGGCCTGCTTTACCCCCGCTCAGACGATGACTAGAACAAAGGGTGCGACCCAGCTGCCGGTGAGGCTCTCAACTAGTACTCACCTCTGGGTGGGGGGCAAAAAAACCGGACTCTCCCCGGATCAACGACAAGTTGACCCAGTCCAACCAGAGTGACCTATACCCACACTCTGGCCTCCTCAGTAAAGCAGCCACCATCCCTAGTCACATTAGACAGTCGAATCAGAAAACACCCTATTTGGCGCACACGTGGCTTCGCATTTAAATTAGTTCTCAGGTCTATCTTACTTCCAAATTATTCTCATTTAACTTTGGTCAAAACTAACGATCCCAATCTACTGTCTTTAACTTAATACCAGCCAGAATCTAAATGAATTTGTTAAAATAAATTTGGTAGAATGTATTAAATGGTTTATTCAGTATGGCAAACAACAAAAATGTAACAGTGATCTTATCGTTAAAAGAGTTGTATGTAAACTAACTACTAACAGTTGACAAAAGCATTCAATAATTAGATGAAGCAATAGTCAATAATTCTCAAGCCATGTTTAACATTCTGAGAAACAGTTTTGATAAAACTGAGCGCTGCGATAAATAACTCTTAAGGTACATATACAAAACATATAATATCTGAAACTGACAGGTATTATGACTACGACTGTAAAATCGTAAATACAAATAATGTGTATTTCTAACAGAATTCTAACATGAACAACTCAGTACAAAGGCCACTGCTCTACCTCCGCCCCACCTTACTAGTGGCCCATTACATGCGAGGCTGATTCAGCGCGCTGAACTCTCTCACCGCACTCGCAACTGGGGGGCAAACCTCGGACTCTCCAGGGCCAACCACTTGTTGACCCAGCCCAGCCAGGGTCCACACTGGCCTCCAAGCAAAGCAGCTTCCAAAATAAATATAATATACATAAGACAGCAGGATTAAAGACCACCTCAACTAGCTCACGTGGCTCTAAGTAGCTTAAGCATTTTCCCTCAAACATCTAAGCCTATATCATTTTGATATATTTAATCAACTTAATCAACTCAATTTACTTAATTTAGCCTGTTCTATCTATCTATCCTAATAAAGAACCAAGACACTCAGTAAGCAAAAACTCACCTGTATAAACAGGAAAATTAATCCAAAATAGATAATACAAAACACACAAAAACTAATCACTAACACGATGCGACACACGACTTGATCGGGAATCTATCGAACAGCGACTAAAGGGAATGGTTCACATGCGTTTTGAGTTCCCATAGTCCGGTCGTACACATCTGGTTAACATTATATTCACCCTCTTGTCTTAAGTGGGTCAACCCAGCGACCAAAATGAAGCATAATCGCCTAACTATCTTTTAGAAGAATTGGCGTAAATATATATAAACTTCTAAAAGTTTACCTTTTCGACCCAAATCAATAAAACTTACTCTTACAATTGTAATTGGTTTATCATTTCTTCTCGTCTTTTATCTGCTGTTTCGATTATTCCTTCTACTTTCAACACCTTTTGGAGTCTTCGTACCATGTTGTTGCTGTGTATTTTCTAGCATTTTTGGCATTGTTTTTGCTAGCCTTTTTGGTCAGTGATCTACCTCTTAACCAGATTTCTTGACCGTAATTGCGTTGAAGTTTTTAATTTATCTTTTATATTTAGTGTGTTTTCTTTTTAAGTAGTCTATTCAGTTTTTTAAGTTTGTTTTCTGCTAGTTTTGCATGTCTTTTAATGTGCTGGGTGTATTTCCTGTTATAGGTATGTTATTGCTTTCTTTAATTTAATTGTGTTTCCATTCAATTTTAAAAAGTGCTGGACGGGTGTCTTGTTTCCAAATAGTAGCGCCTCTGTTTTCTTCTCGTTTTGATTTTCCGTTTCGTAGCGTTAAACGTTAAGCAGAGTTGGGGTGAAAGGGGAGTCTTCTAGAGCCTTCAGTTGATCTTATCTGCTTCATTCCTACTAGGTATTTTCGTTCCTTAAGCCGATTGGCTATTATTTGTTGTGACCGAAGTGGGAAATATAATAATTATAGTTTGTATAAAAGTTCTTGCTTCCATAGCATATCACAGGCCTCTTTTATGTCAAGGAGTGCTACCACTGCTTGTTTCCTTGACCCTATGTATTAGTCTACGGTACTTATGAGGTTGGCTACTTACTATATGACTACCAGTTTTCTTTGGAAACCGAATTTTTTGTTGGGATGTTTATTTCCTTTAGATGTATTTCGATGTTGCCTTTTATGAAACTTTTTAGTAGTTTGGCTATTCCGCATAGTAATGATATGTATTTAGGAATAGACTCGAGTTAAACATGCGTCGAAGAGGGTTATTAGGCGTTGACTTACGTTGTGGTCTACAATTTGGAGTGTCACGTTTGGTATGTTGTCTCCTAGACTCTTCTTCCTATCTAGATCTTTTATTTTTTCTTTTACAGCATTTGTTGTAATTTCTGGTGTTAAAGTTGATTTGGAGTTATGTGTCTTCCATCAATTTGTAGAGGAGAATTTTGGTTTCTCTTTTCTCAATTACTTTGATTAGATCCCAGAATGATGTTGTTTCGTCATTTACCTTTTCTACGCATTTGATCAACCGATTTTCTTCTATGTTCTTTAGCATTCTAGTTTTGTTTGTATTTCTTCTTGACACTTCTGTGCTTTACCCATTTCTTTTTCAGTTCGTTTTTCCCTTTTATTATTTGTTTTTCTTTGGAGTAAAGTTCTAGTTGGTTTTTAGTTTTAATGGAGCATTTTTTGATTAGCGTTGTGATTTCCTCTGTAACGTGTTTACTTCGTTTTCAATTTCGTTATCGTGTTTGTGCGTAATTCGCTACATATCATCTCGTTAGCTCAGGATGAACCATTGGACTTGTATGGTCAAATTAAATACCCTTATTGTGTTAAAGCTTTATATTTACAAAAGCACAACACTAATATATACAAGACTTAAGACAATTAATCTTAACCTACACATAACCCTGTTTATGTACAGATTTCCCAAATTATACTTTGAATACCAAAACCGATACGAGACTGCTTACTTGTCATGAAAGAAACAAATGTACTTCTCTTCTATAAATCTTTATTTCTAAATGTATATTTTTCAAAAGAAGACCAGAAAATAGCTACATAGTGTTTAAATATTTTTTTTTCTAGGAAATCTGAACATATTCCTCTCTTGAAGCTTTCGCTTCAAATCATCACAAATCTCCGAAGTATACTTACAGATAAGAATACTAAATGGATAAAGAACAATTGTGAGATAGAACATTTTCCAAAGTAAAAATTGCCTTACATATTATTTATACTATTATTACATCAATACCTTTACGATCGGCGTAGTGAAAATTCCTGTCTTAGTTGTTAATTTGATTAGTCGGACCTTAGCATAGCGCCCCGGCAAAATTTCGATTATTCTTTATACAGTCTAGGTACCAGTGGCGTAGCTAGGTAAGCCTGGGGCAAATCAGAAAATGGGAGCCCACTGCTATCTAAACTGGTTAGGTTTTATCAAGTAAAAATATTAAATATTAGTGACTATTCGGCCACTTTCGTAGTCGGCGACTATTCGGCAAAGTTCGCTGACTATCCGGCTTGTTACATTGTATGTATTTCTCAATACACTATATATATGAGGAATTACACAAACTAAAAACTTTGACTGTTAATTAACATTATAATTTTAGAATCAGTCTTATATGTATCGTCTTATTTTCATCAATAAACATTGACAAATATATACTTCTTATTTAAATAAAAGAGTAGGAATTTGTGTTATTAACAGACATGGATTTGCAACCGGAAGGAATAATCTGTGCTCGAGCATTTAATCATAGAACATAATTAAGGTATTAAGATGTCCGTATTTGATATTGTTGTTTATACTTGTAGTATTTGCTGTTTTTCCCTGTCCACCACGAGAATTATCATTTGGCACTGCTTACACTTGACTTTATAAGAATCATTCTTCAATTGGTAAAAAAAGTCCATAGACGAGACTGTCTTTTTGACATGATTAAATTGTAATTGAGCTCTTTCACTTTAATGAACAAGAGAAGTATTAGTTTTTACACAAAAATACTATTGTGACTCGTGCAAAAGTAAAAATTAAGAAGAAAATGCAAGTAACTTGCGCTCAAATAAGCTGTAAACGAAACATCATGGAAATTGCAGAATATCCCTGAAACCGTGATCGGCTTGGCCGACTAATCGGCCGACTATACTTCGAGTTTGGCCCATACTATTTCTTAAATATTGTTTTCATCATCATCATAAGGTCATCAGTCCTAAGACTGGTTGGACACGTACCTCCACTCTTTCCTATCCTGAGCTAAACTTCGCATTTCCCTAAAACCTTAACTATTTGCGAACAGTAATCTAATCTAGGTCTACCTCTACCCCTTCTAACTCCTGTTTCTGCCTCTAATATGTCTCTGACTAGACCTTCATGCCTCAGAAGGTGTCCTACCAACCTATCTCGCCTATTTTTTATTGACTTCTTCATTTCTAACCTTTTCTACCCACGATATCCTCATCATCCATTGTTTTATTAATTTTAATTTGCTAAAAGACCTTTCAGCTGCTGCAGAAGTGACAGGAATGGTAAAGGACAATAATATTGCTGTAAATACTTCCGTTAGGTCGCATTCTAGCACTCTATATTTGCTCATTACTTCCTTACATAATTGGTGAACAGTCCATGCTTGAGTTAATTGAGGTAAAACTAGGTGTTAAATATTAGGTAATAAATTGAAGTGAAAAGCTAGAGCCTATTATATCTAAATATTTTTTTTGGAATTCGTTACAGTTTTGTAAAGTTGCTTCATCAACATGTAATAAAAATGTTGGTGTTAGAAAATCAAATATTTGACACAATGCACTCATACCAGTACAACGTGTATTTAATTGAGCTATTAATGTGTCTAGTACATTATTGAAAATCTCAATTTTAAATATTTCTTCTCTGTTTGGAAATCGGTGATCAGCAGCTAATTCATCAAAATGTTTTTTAACTTTCCTTTGACTTTTTTCTTGAAAATGGGTATCGATACCTTATTTTCTTGCAGTTTCACTGGCTTTGCACTTAAATAATTCGAAATCATTACTATAAGTTTGCAACTTTGCTTTGGTCTCGGCTAAAGCTAGAAATATTTCGTCTAGAAGTACTTGCATGTGCGATAATGCGTAGGTAATATGTGTATGATATTATTGGGTTATTAAGGTGATCACAAAAAAAAACTTTTGGGTGTTTCATTCCCACTAGCCAGTAATGCTGGTTGGCGGGCAGTCCCTCCGGGCTACGCCGGAAGGTAGGGCGGAAGGCCCTCTTCAGCCTGCTTTCAGGAATCGTGGGAATGGGTGGGTGGTGGTTCGGGTGAGAAAGTTGAGACGGACGAAATGAAGATAGAAGAGAATGAAAGATTATCTGTGGAATATTACTGCCCCAGTGATCCAAGGAAACCACAGAAAAACTTGGACCAAGGCAGACGGACCCGGAATCGAACCGGCGACCTCCCGAATGCTAAGCAATGGTCTAAACCTCTAGGCCATGCCGCTCGGTGATGATCACAAATAATTGGTATATATACGTATGTATTTGTATTGTGCCCTGTTCTCGAGAAATATTTGTGTTAACACGTTTTTGTGGCCATGGTGTTTATTTGAGCTCGTGGTGGCTGAGGTCATGTATCTGCTAACCCCAGTATGTCAGGAGAGACGCAGATATCTCCGGTGATGCCTATAGTACGTACTTGCCTTGCTTGAGGTGGGCATGGTGCTATAGCGATACAGGATTAGGTTCGTCCTACCCTGTTGGTCTCCAGTATGTGCGAACCCCATCTGGAGGTGCGGGAGCGCAAACTCATGATTACAGGTACTATCCACTGACT